AAGCGGGACCCGCCGTGGGATAACGTGAGGGAGAAAAAAAGATGCACAAAGTTACGTGCTGGTTTGCGTGCCTCCTGCAGCCAGCCCAGGGCAGAGCTTTGCGTTTTTATACAGCAGCCGCGCCGTGCCAGAAAGCAGGTTATCACGCCTCTCTCGCTTTAAGTCTGACGATACCGAGTTTGGTTTTTTGGTTTTGGTGGTGTTGTTTTGGTTTTTTTTTAACGCCTATCACACGCCCTCCTAGATGGGTGAAGCTGTGAAGCAAAACTCAGGTTTTGTCCCCAACTACCGATGAATTATATGTGGCACAAAGTTACAGAGAACACATTAAGATGTAAGGGCCCACACGCAAGTTATGCATTTGGCATTGCCCAGGCGTCAGAACAACGTTTTCGCAAGTTCTCATCGTGTCTTCATGTGTTCCTCAATACCCACCCACTTCATATTCTGTGTAGGAAGTGCGGTTTCCTCGGCAGATGGCATCGCCGAATCTCCAATGTATGCTGTATCGTGTATGATACTCAGTATATCTATACATATTCAATATATGCTGTATTATGTATTCAATATGTGATGTACTATTGAAATTAACAAAAAGTTTTAAAAATATTTAAAATCCCACCACCATTGGCTCTAATCATCAGGGGAAAAATACTTGCTTCTGAATCTCTGTCTACAGCGGTGGGTTTGAAAATCTGTGGGACGTGTGCTCTATGCCTCCAGGTAGCTGCGCCTCCAAGACGAGCTGCTGGGCCCCTGGGCCAGCGCTGCCCAGTGTGTGCACTGCATATTTGTTTTTCTCCAAGGCCCAGCAGCAAAGGTAAAATACGAACACGTTATCGGTGGTCTAAACCAACGTGTACCGTACACCTAGCCCGTTGCAGGAGCAACAGGGCATGGAGAAATAAAACCCTCTCTGCCTATGGAAGCAAAGGACCTGGGCACATCTGGTGTTGCTTGAAACAGTTGTTTGTGGCGATGACTGTTACAAGCGACTTTTATTATTTACAGTTTGTTTGAATTATTATTTGTGCTGTAAATTACCTTCCTTCAGCTACAGGAGTTCTGGGAAATTGCTTTGCAGTTTTAACAGCAGTGGGTTTGTATCTGCCGTGCTAATTCTAGAGTTTAAAGTCAAGCAAATGAAAACGCGCAGGCTGGAATGCTCAGGCAGTCCCCATGAAGATTTTCTGCCGCCTTTGCGAGGCGCCCCCTTTTCTGACACCTGAGGTTCTCTTCCACACAGACCTGGCCATCATCCTGTTCCTCACTGTGCGCACCAGCGCGTTACTAAAAACGAAATGCAAGCCAGAAAGGGCATTATTAACACGGAGCTTATTATTCATACAAAACACAAAGCTGCTTGTTCTCTCATACTTCCTTGTGCATCGCATTTTCAACTCGCTACTTGCGATGAAATCTGTTGGCACGCCTCCTCATCTGCGGTGAGGGCTCACGTTCTGTCCCCCCACTCTTCCCTTCCTCGGGCCAGCCCTCAAAGCCAGCATGTCCCCACGCTCCCCGTGACAGTTGCTGTGTTGGTGCCGTGACCTCCTCTCCCCCAGGGCGTAGGCCCCTTCCTGCTCCTTCACAGCCTGAAATAAAACCAAGTTGTTTGTCACTGCCAAGCGAAGGGTTGCTGCGACATTTGCACAGCACCTGTTGTGGCGTGGGTTTTCTCCAAGCGACACGTGCGAGTGGCAGCGTGGGCGTCGGAGCCGAACACGCTGCTGGGAGAAGAGGAAGAGGAGAGGGAGGAAGGAAGGGGTTTCAGAGGGGCGCTGGCTCTGAAGGGGGCTTGGGGCACGTACCTGGCGTCTTCTCTTCAGCACGCGCGAGGCAGCAATGCTCCCGTCCCCCCGTCACACCTGGAAGCAGACTGGTAGCAAACGCCCTGGCCTCAGCCCCGGATGGAGCCGGCACAGGGCCGGAGCACACACCTGGAGCCACAGCTGGAAGGTGTTCCTGGTTTCAGCAGTTCAACATGATCACAGCAACCAAGCCAGCTCGGCACATCTGCCCCCAAAACGTGAGGTCGTGCTCTCGGGCGATGGTGGGGAGGGAGGCTCAGCAGGTTTTCTCTGCCCGTGCCCGCTGGGGACAGCCAGGCTCAGCTGCCCCGGGTGCGCTGGCAGCCGCAAGCCCTGTTCATGGCAAAATCGCTAGGCCCAACTTACTCTGTAATAAGAGGTTCCTTAACGCCTCCCAAATTTTGCAGCACCAAATCAAAACCAACTAGTTTGAAAGACCACAGGGTGGAAGAGGTCCCAAACAGAGGGAGAATACACAGGAGCACCTCAGGCTTTGTCCTGTGAGGGCAGTTTTCCATTGCTGGGTAAAGTGGTATGAATGACTCCTAAAATACATAAAGGTCTGACATCTTTAATGGGCTTCAGAATGTCTAAATGTGGTATTTCACAAAACCGCTAAGCGTATACTATTAATATGGAAACAAGACAATGGGTGGAAATACTGTGGAAGGGGGGACTTGCAACTGTGCCCTTCTATTAGAAGACTGTTCTCATTTCCCTGTGATTTTCTTCAGATTTAGCAGCTTGGGCTGAAATTTTCTATGCTAGGTATCTGACCGAGAATTTTAAGTACCAGCCAAAACAGTTTCTCGCTGTTCCTGAGGTAGAGAAAATCCATTGCTCTGTCAGCGTTAAAATATGCTTGGATGAGATGAAATTTGTACCCTCCTTCATTTTGCTCTTACAAATCTGTAATTGAATTACATTCATAAATTTGTTTTGAAAGGACATTAAAGTGACAACGGCAGGCAGGAAGGTTAGGAAGTAGGAGAATGAAAATTGTCCTACTTCAGTTTTGTTCCTTTCATATATACGCACCACAGTGCAGTCTTTAATTACATGAGCTATTTTTTTCAGCAGAAGGGAAGAATTCCAGTTGAATAGCAGATCAGTTTATTTCCAGAAAGCTAATAGCCAACCTTCGGAGTCCTGTGGCTCCCTCCCACAACATCTGTGTGACTGACAACAAAAAGATGCTTCAGTAGAGCTTGAGGATGGAGGACAAGGAGAACTCTAGGAGAAGCTCACGCATGGGAGGCGATACCGACTCCTCCGAGGTCCAAGCAGCCTGCGGTGGGACATGGCCAGATATTGGCAAGCAGTGTGATCCATGAATATCCCACACAGGCCAGTCTCTGCAGCATCTGCTGCCTCATTTCATCCTTGGACGAGTGTTTGGACTCGTAAGCAGATGTTCTCCCTACAAACCCCGTGAGAAATCCTAGCTGGCCCTCCTCCAAAATTCACTGCTTCCACAGCTTCGCTAGCAGAGCTGGATAGTTAACTGCAGAGCAGCACAGCTGGATGTGAGAGAGAATTTCAGCCTAAGGAACAATGAAACGTTTTTGAACGTGCAATGGTACGTTAAGTGGTTAGCACTCTACAGGAGAGATCCTGCCTGATGATGGGTGCCCAAAATAGATGCACCTTTAGCTATTTTGGCCTTATTCTCCCCGACATTGTTTCTCATGGGTGAGACTGGGTTCTGTATTCCTGTTTTCAGAACTTCTAAAAGATCCTGCTGCCACGTTTGGGTCAGTAATCAAATAAGTACCACGGGAAGGCCGAAGAGGAAGCTGGCCATTTAGTGCAGAATTTTCCTGGTTAAGGGCAGTGTTCCCCAGCCTCAACGTCCTGGCTGCTTATCTGTCTGATTTTGCCCAGTGGTGGAAAGCCTCTGCTGTAATAGTCTCGGGGACAGAAAAAAATTCTGGCCTATCCGTGAGAAAAGATTGGGAAACGCAACAAGAGTCTTGCCTACTCAGCCCTGCGACTTCAGGGTATCCTGTGCCATTTCTTCTGTTCTTCTTCATGGTCTTCTTTGCACTGGAAGGAACGGGTGCTGTGCAACTCTGAATGTCAAACCAACACTGCTCTGCTTTAAGGTGTGAGTTTGTAGCTGGCAGCCAAATAAAGCCTCTTGTAAGCATCTGAACTTCAGGGCAGATAGACAATATACACCAGAACCCTCAGCACCAAGACTATATTTTCTGGACATGTATTCATCTGAAGATGTTGAAGAAAAGCAAAACTGATCCATTATGTTATAGGAAGTTTGTCTTCAGGAGAAAAAAAGGCCTCAAAACATGGCTGCTAACATTCCCTATGACTTGCAAGAAAGAAAAAACATGGATTCCTTTAGAGAGTTTGGGGGCAAAATCCGTGAAAAAGGATGGCTGCCCTGTATTTCAGCTGTCTCATTTCTGAGTGTCCTGCCACCGAGCAAAACCACACATCACCAAGTCTGACCTCTCTTGCCCCCTCCGGTGAGATTGTTTCCAAGCCAAATGATGCGTCTGAAGATTCTCTCTTACTTCGTGAGTGAGTTCCCAATCACACTGAGTTCTCAAAGGACTCAGGTTTGTAGAGTTCACCAGTGACCAAGACAACTGTGTAAAATGAAAGTTAACATGAGCTGCAAATTTCTTCTTACAGGAGAGGAGCCAGAGTGAACTCCTAAGGGAAATTTTCTGTTCTTCTACAATAATTTATGTTTGGTTTTCTGCAGCAGACCCTTGAAAGATTATAGCACAGCGTAGCTGAAAGGTACCGTATACTGCCATAATGCAAATGGAAAAGCTTATGACTCATCATCTTACTGCCACCTTCTTCCCAAGGAGAACCCAAGTCCCTTGTTCCTCTGTGTCTACATAAAAGCTTAACACCCGTGAAACACTCAGAGTTTTCTTGGCTTATGACCTGTGCTGTCAGGGTGTCCTTTTGGAAAAAATTACCCATCTTCCTGCATTATGGGGCTATTTTGAGGGACAGTGAGTATGAGGCATATGAAAAATAAATCCTCAACCATGAAAATAACAGAGGAAACAAGCTTTATTTTTATTATTGGAAATTTTTGTGCGTGGTAAAGGTACACATTTGACTCTGGTTTTCCTACATTTCCAAGACAGAGTAATTTTTTTTAATCATCAGCTAAAGCATCAAGAATACCGTGGCACACAGGAAGCTAAAACTACACACACACACGCAAACACTTTGATGCGCATCTTTCATCCTTGACCTTAAGGAAACAAAGTTTGTATTTAGCCTCACAGGGACTGGAAAAAAAAAGCCAAAACACAACAACAAAAAAACCAAGTGAGAAGAATATTTCATTATGAGTGTCAAGAGTGCAAGGCTTACGTGTACACAAAACATACGAGATTGACTTACAAAGATGGAATGTACAAAAACTTTAAAAAAAAATAAAGAAAAAAAAGACAGACTCTCTCCTAGAACTGGAAAGCTGCAGGGTATCAACTGGTAGAGATTTCTAACGGGGCTACTGCCATACACTATGCAGCTTAGGGAACATTCCCGTGTCATAAAGCCAAAGCAAAAGTGTCAGGGTTAAGGCCGTGTTGCTCACAAACATCAACTGAAGTGCTGTACATTCATCAGAAATAACACAACCCGTTAGGAATCTTCCTACTCCGTAGCACAGATACCTTGCGT